GTATGTATCTCCGCATGGACCCCTCCATACCAACTTTGGTGAAGATTCATCTACAGGGAGTGAAGTAATGGTAAAAATGCCCATAAAAACTGAAAATTTGTATGCACCCCCTACATGGACCAAATGAACCTCCATACCAAATTTGGTTAAGTTCCATCCACACCCTATGAAGTAGTTATATGGACAGACAACAGACAGTACCAAACAAATTTTAAAAAACAACAACAAACACTTACTTATTTGGATGAATTGCTGACAATACAAATATTAACACAATAACGTCTAGACTTTCTTCTGGAAATGGAACAGGCCAGACATCTGTAGTCACATCACAAGTGAAAGCGTAACACCTTTGTGGTTCATACTTTTCGTGTTTCTACGTAACACAAAGTAATATAACACTTTACATGCTTTACACAGACCACAACAAAGCCGTAAAAAATAGTACACGAAGCTAAAAATATATTACACGCCTTAAATAGGTGTATTTTCACGTATCACGGTTTCAATTGCCTTATGTTACATTAGACATTAATTCCTCACTACAATATTCAATACAAAAAAACAACATTCTGACATATTTAGTTCACTTATCCTTACTCATTATAGCTTAAAGCAAAACAAAAAGTTAATATTCCGAAAAAAAAAAAATTGTATAAAAATGACCATGACAAAAATAATAACTCAAATCATAGCAAATTAAAACATTATCTAAACACAATCACTCCTCAACTATTCAAATTATTAAAAATTAGAATTCAGTTATAATTAGGAGTTTGAAAATCAATAATTTCAACACATCATTTAACAGACAATATTTTATAGCGTGTAAAATCTCTCCATAAAAAGTAATTTTCCTAAAATAAATGTAAGAATCTGAAACTATACCTCTGTACAAGCATGCATGATTGTTTAGCAATAAACAACCATACCATTTCAAAATTGTTTCAGATTTTATGAATTTCTCCTTCAGATGATGCATTAAATTTTCTCGTAAATTCATCCCAGACATCGTGGTTTCTAAACGGCAAGAATTTCCACCACTTTCCATGGTGTACGGCTTTATTATTTTATGATATTGACAAGCCATATAAACATCTAATTTGAAAAAAAAAACACTTTAAATTTACTATTTTTATTCTAACTAATAAAAAGAAGGAATTCCTACCTTAACAAGTGAAACTGCAGCATCAGAGAAATCACAGCAATAAACAAAAAGTCCTTGATCACTGTTGTAAATAAACTTTCGTTAATAAAACAATTATAATGAGCAAGCTTCTACATGTTCATCTATTACAAGAAATGCTGATAACAAAATGGTGAAATCAGTTTCCTTCCTGTGTTACAGATAACAATGGAAGTAGTCAAAAAACACCAACAGCTTATTCTCGTAAAGAATTTAAAAAACCTGTGAACTACATTTGGCTATAACCACAACCTCTTTCATTGCAATATGTGAATGAAACATAAAAAACTACTCATTAGTCTTACTATCAGTATTTGACAACCTACATTCAAAGTCATTACGGTACTTGTATCAACAAGAGTAATCACGGAGATTACATACCCTCGCCCTGCCACTCCTTTTCATGATTGCATGCGTTTATGTTGGATAACGTCAAATTTCACCTTCAGAAATTCAGAAAATCCTTCTCAGATCCAAAATGATCAATGATCTGTATCATTTTGTGTAGTGTGATGAGGAGTCTCAACCTTAATGTGCCCATGAAATTTGGTACAAATCCGATCACACTTTACAGAGTTATTAACCCAAAACTGTGAAAATGCCCTACCTCATCATTTAAAACAATGCTTCAAAATGATACAGAATCTGGATCCAGACCAATATGGGGGAGGACTGTTCCATACTGACTTCCCATTTTGTGTAAAATTTTCACGTATGTTGGTCTATTAGTTTTCGAGATATGCATGTGGAAACACAGACAGACACACACGGACCAGACTGCAATACCCCTCCCCCACTCTGAGGGCATGGATAATTATCATAATGTCCTGTGTAAAGGCAACAGTCACATATAAAGTTGTTTTTAATAGTTAAACTAATTACAATTCATATACTTAATCAGATTTAACTGACACAAAACCTACTTGTTAACTTCTAAAATTGGAAAGACTGTGTTTCCTGCACCACACCCTACCTATGAAGAAAACAAAAATCAACTTTAATCAAAGCAAACTAATAATAACATCAAGCAAACACTATGGTAACTGGTTAGAAAACAAGAGACGTGCTTTTCTACACGTAATGTTAACTATATAAAACTCGTAAAGATTCGTTCAAATATACTTTATATTTTCAATGACGAGGAACCCACTTTGAGATTAATAATGGTTGGAGACGGCTTGAATGAGTAATGAAGAAAAACTTTAATATAAGTTTAACATTACAGCAAATGTTACGTTAGACTTATATTAAAGTTTTTCTTCATTACCCACTCAAGCCGTCTCCAACCATTATTAATCTCAAAGTGGGTTCCTCGTCA